TTTTGAATCTCAGCCAAAATCAAAGCGCATGAGAAGCTTTACAGAGTTGTACTTGTCTCCCTTCTTATTGTACAGGGGTACTGCTCGAATTCCCTTCTTTAGTTCTGAGACAAGCAAACAAGTTTGGCCAGCAAAGTCATCTTTTTCAATCTCATCACGATCATGGACCTCAACTCGAAGCAAAGCCAGTTCAGGAACAGTCAACTCAAATGTAAATTCTTCATTCCAAACAGGAGTCCAATTGTCATTTTTCTCTTTTGTTTCATACATTTTCGTCTTGTCAGCTGGCACTCCTGCTATCCCAACCTGCATTGCAAATGAACGAGGACATGGACAGGTTCAGGTAAATAAATGCAATGCAATCAAAGTGTGTTCAGATGTAGTACTAATTATTTATGTATATAGAGGACTATCATTTATTGTATAATTATCATCCGACATACCAATAAAGAAATGCTAATTAGTTATGTACAAAAAAAACTAACTTATTTCAACTTGCAATTAAAACATCTTACCCTCGCGTAGAAGTCTGGTGGGGAATAAGAATCAAAGTGAGTTCGTTTAAAATCTAAACGCCAACCATCTCCCATATACACTTTTACCTGTCAAGTAATAGTACATGAAAAAAGGATTTAATTAGTACTGAAATAGAGTGAAAGTTATGCCAGGAGAGATAATTCTCACCTTTAATATAGTTTTCTCCCCCACAAATTCTGCTTTTGGATCAAAGACCTTGTCACCCTGCATCAAAATCTTAGGCTTTTTCACATAACCACACCCTCCATTGGATCTAAACAGCCCTTGCATCCACCAAAGATACTTACCATGGCCCTGCCCATTGATACACCATAAACATCTTGCTTAGAAGTTGAAAATTAACCATGCTTTACAAGTTAGGATCAGGATTCATCAGGAGAAGTTATAAACAAAACAAAATATATATTTATACATACACACATGTATATATCCTTACTAATATGTTTTCTGGGTCCATTCCATCATCATACTAATCCATAAATGTTCAAAATTTCAATAGAATTCAGTACTGCATATATATAACTGCTACCAGTTAATTAATGCAACTACTCCTGTTATACATATATATATATGTGTGTGTGTGTGTGTATTAGATCAACCAAGAAATTTTTAATTTTTATTATTTTGGAGTTATTTTGGAGTACATGCAGTACTCCAACCCTTAAACAAGATTACAACATTCACTCTGCTTATCAAAATTCTCTATATTCTGAACATTGCATCCTCAAGCACCCAAGGCACTAATTAATTGATTCAGCACAAGTTCTTGGGTTGCTGCACCAATCAAAAAAGGTACTCCTGCTATATTTTAAGATACTTATAGGAGGAAAGAAAATTAAACAAACTTTAAGCAACCTAGGAAGAGAAGGCTACATCTTATGTAGTATAGAACCCAAACCTGCATGTTAAACGCAACCATCTGAGCTCCATGCATCCAACCAGTTAACGGGTTGTAATTGGAGGAGTTAAAACGAGTACCCTTGGGGAATATCCTCAAAACATTATTCTGGGTGAATCTATAAGATGATTTCAAGGGTTGGTGAAATGAACAACTGTTGATGCCTTTAAATAATGCACTATATATGTTAAGCTCATAGAGACTGGGCATCCTGAACTAGTAGAAATCAACAGAAAAAAAGAGTACCTTACAACTTCCATTGCGTGGGACAACGCAGCCCTTTTAAGTTTTCCTTCACTGAAACTAATGCGTTTAACTTTATCAAGTTCCACTTTTAGTGCATCCTTCAACTCACCCTTGGGTTTTTCAGCATGAATGGAAATAAGATGCTTGTATTCAAGTGCTTTTGATTGCATTGATCCAGGATCAGATGCATCATTGTCTTCATTATCTTGACTGCACTCGCTTGAATGATCATCATCCTCATCAATCTGAAAGACCATGGAACAATTAATGTTGAATTAAGTAGATAATACATCTTAAAGTATATGATAAATACATATATATTCAGTATATATGTACCTTAGCTTCATCTTCTTGATCAGATGAGTAGTTTTTTCTTGGCCCTTTCTTTGATGCTCCACTCCCACATTTAAAAAATTTAGGAAGTGTGAATGGTAAGGGAGGGGCGCCAAGCCTCCAACGCTTTCCCTTGTTTGAGTTATTGTTACTTTTGTCTTCATTATCAGCTGTAAACTGTTGGGGAGGCTTGGTTGATATGATAATCCTTTTTTTCAGATCTTCTGGTGAAGGAAATTCTTTTAAACCTTCACACTCGTCCGGACGAAACAACATCTCTTGAAATGTAGCAGTAATCACCTATGATAGAAAAAGTATTATAAAGTCAGTAAACTCTGATTCCAGAGGAATGAAAGATTGGTACTAAAAACCGTATCCATATTCATGGAAAAATGAATTAGATGGATGTACCTGAGCAACTTTTTTCTGAAGAGGTGGGGTTAGGTGGTCTTCAAGAGTAATAATAACAGGGTATTGATTTTCAGTGAAAGCATTGTCTTTAATAGATTGCAAACATTTAGTGAGTTCCACTGGAGTTGTCAATGTCCTGCGTTCATCAACATATATCCATCTTATTTACTAGTACTTGAGAATAACCTTTTAATTGCTAATTCAGCCATTTATGTGATATGTCAAAAGCTCCTCATTAGTTCTTGATGCTTTTTTTCTCTTTTAACTATCTAACCATGTATCAATCTACTAAATTGGAACCAGCATATGGATGACTAATTTACAAAGATATAAATGAAACAAGCATTAGATTAATTGGACAATATTCCAAAACAAAACTAGTAGATTTTGTTTACCCTCCATGTCGAACTTCGACAGCACTCTTATCTGAATTGGGCCATAGGTCTAGCTCCACCACTCTTACCCCGTTCTTCACTGCTTTTATGATGGGGACATCGCTGGAGTCACTCGAGAGCTGATTTCCAGTCAAATATGAATTGTGGCCGGTAAATATGAAATAATGGGACAAAGGAGCTTCCATGTCATGGTGCACCTGTATGCAAAATCAATCTTGTTTAGATACTATAAAGAGATTTGAAGCCCATGTCTCCATATATTCTGCGCTACAAATCTTAATCAACAATCTAGTCATATAGATATTTGCACAAAAATCCCGTTTTAATTTCCATTATAATTAAATTTTGGTGGAAAAGAACCATGTACCTTATCACGAATAGGGGGGTTTAGATCCGCAGAGAATAGGTAATGTTGAAAATCCTCGAGGGTAAGAGTGTGCCTCACCGTCTTGGTATTGTGATGCCGTTCCTGAAGCACCTTTTCCACCATCCCCACCGCCTCAGCCACGGACGCTCCGGCTTCACCCTGAACAGCCACCAAGAACTGCTGCAGCTCCTCTGCCGTCATGTGCTCTCCATCCTTGGCGTACTTCTTGAAGGCATCTTTGACGTCCTGCGGTGGTTCTGCCTCCACGATTCTAAACTTTATGGTGAAGCACAAGCAGACCCTGTAGCGACTCATCTCTCCTAGTCCTAACTGGATATTTCGATGACCAGCTGAGCTCTTCGGGTCATGGCTGCTTTAAAAATGACATCTTTATGACTAGATATTCTAGTTCCTTTATCTTTTACAGAAAACTGTTGTGCAGGGGCACTAAAATTATTGGATTGTGGTAGAACCTTGATACTGGATGTCGTCATCCAAACTGTTATGTTTTACAATTTAATTCAGTTTAAACGGTAAAATATGACTTTCCCACAATTTTTTATGTTGCATCTTCCATTAACATCGAGCTTCATCGCATTTGTGAGAGTTTTTATGCCGGTCTTCGCAGGTCTTCCTGCCTCCTATTTTGTTGAGTCTACGACGACTTTTATGTTAAGTCTTCGTCTTGAAGTCTTTAACCAGTCTTCTTAAAGAAATGTGCCAAATGTAAGGTGTCTTTTAATTTTTTTAGGCAAAACCCCTCTTAAGCTCCTAGGCTTACTTCAAACTAACATGTGAGTCCCTAAACTAAAAATATTACAAATAAGCCTTCAAACTTCTTCAATGATGCAAATTAGCTCTCAAACCTCTTGAAATATACATATCAGTTTTCATCACTAACAATTTAATGCATGTGACCACGCTCAATCTATTTTTAATTATTATCGATTTATTATTATATAAAATTATTAAGTCAAATTTTATTGAAAAATTAAATTAAGATGAAAAAATTTGATTAAAATAGTAAATAATGTTTTTTGCTAAAAGATAAGAAAAGAATAATTTATCTGAAATAAATTGCTAAGTAAAAAAAAATACAATAAGTGGAGGTAGATACCTAACTTTTTGTCGAAGTTATGTCTTTTCTTTCTGGAAAAAATGGCAAATCAGCCACTGTACGTAGCAGTTGGTGGCATATCAGCCCCATATTTTGCAGACTGCAACAATTCATGTCTGAGGACTAATTTGCGGTCCAAACTTGCCCACAGAACACAATGAGTAATCCATGCCATTCCTCTGTTCAACAGGAAAAAGGAGAGCCGTAGTCTCAGTTAACCTTCTCGTGAGTAGGGGATGTTTCACTGTAAGTAAGAGAGAACAATGTCTAATTTAGGTCTTGCTTATTTAGAAAGAATCTAAGATCATTGAATACCAAGTATCAATGTATGAGAGAGTAGAGAATACATTTAAGGGGGAATATATAAAACACTATATGCTTTGCTTCTGGGGCATTTTCTAAAACTTTGGTTCTAAGCATTCTGTGGAAAACCATTACATTCAACTTTGCTGCAAAAAGGGGAACGAATGAGAGAAAGAAAGAAGATGATGGTCCCCATTTCATTCCTTCCTCTCCTTAGCCCCTAAATTCACAGTGCCAACATAAACTTTGCATATGAGAACAGAACATATTCTCACTTAGATGAAACGCCATTCCTGAGAATACAGAGCCAGTTAAGAATAGAACTTTATTTTTCTTGCTCCATATACCAGGGATACAGTTACCATGTAATTATATAAACTCGGGTTTTTCATCCTTGATTTTGTGTGGCTAGAACGGCAGAGAGGAGATGGACATAATTAAGCTGAACTTCAAAGTTTTTTGTTGCTGGAAGAGAAGATTCAAGCTGAGGATGGCAGAACCTCCGCAAGAACTCAAGAACGTCTTTGTCAATTACTCTCATAACGGAACAATGACAATTGATGACCTTCGGAGTTTTCTGGTTCGGTATCAAGGAGAAACGAATGCCACCAGAGAGGATGCTCAGGCCATTTTTGATAGCCTCAAGCACCTCAATATCTTCCAGAGGAGAGGGCTGCATTTAGAGGCCTTTGTCAGATACCTTCTCGGCGATCTTAATATTCCTCTTTCTTCATCCCTCGGGGTAGTCATTTATTTATAATCTCATTCTCTTTTATATATGGAATTAAGAAATGTGAAAAGCTCAAGTCTCCTGTTATTCATTTTGTGAAAATTGTACTGAATTTTAGGTGCACCATGACATGAATGCTCCACTGGCACATTATTTCATATATACAGGACATAACTCATACTTGACAGGGAACCAAATTAACAGTGCATGTAGTGCTGATCCTATTGCAAAAGCTCTTCAAAGAGGTGTAAGAGTAATTGAATTGGATCTGTGGCCAAATTCTAATGGAAAGAATGTGGAAGTTCGCCATGGCGGGTAAAATCCCATTTTCTCCTTAATCTTCCGTTAAATTAACCTCTCATATTCATCAAAGAAAAGCTGTACAATTGATTAATTACATGAAAAACTTTCAGGGCGCTGTCAATGACTTCTCCAGTGGAACTCGACAAATGTCTAGTTGCTATTAAGGAGAATGCATTTCTTGCTTCTGAATACCCTGTTGTGATAACTTTTGAAGATCACTTAACCCCAAGTCTTCAGAGCAACGTAGCAAAGGTGAGTGAGCTTCAATGGATTTTGACCACTGATGAGCTTATAATAACTTTCTTTATTAAATTTCTCTTTAATTTGTAGCTGGTCACGAAAATATTTGGAGATATGCTCTATAAAACTGGATCAGAATATTTGACGGAATTTCCTTCACCAGAATGTTTGAAGAGAAAGGTTCTGATTTCAACCAAACCACCAAAAGAGTACCTAGAAAGTCATAGGAGAAGGGAAAGAAGTGAAGAATGGGAAGCAGAAATGGATGAGGAAGAAATTCCGGAAAAGACAGAAGAAGATTATGAAGCTCAAACTAGTAAGAAGGTGCATATAATTAAGGACTCGAATGCAGTCAATATATATAGCTCGGTCCAATTTTATACAGAACTAGTTCACTCGGAATTAATTACCCTGCCTAATTGTCATTTGATTACCATTTTGTAGCAGGAACAGGCTGAGGGGAGAGAACATGATCCTGATGAGGATGAGGACAAGACTACACAGGAGTACAGGCATTTAATTGCCATTCATGCAGGGAAAACGAAAGGCGAATTGCTTGACTGGCTGAAGGACGATCCAAGAAAAGTCAGACGCCTTAGCTTGAGTGAGCAAGAGCTTGAAAATGCTACAAGAAAGCATGGATCCGCAGTTGTCAGGTAGCTTGTTTAGTAACCAATTATCTTGCAGTGTTCGTATTGTTCATGCCTAAATGAATTCTTGTCTATAGGTTTACTCAGAGGAACTTGCTGAGGATTTTTCCAAAGGGTACACGTTTCGACTCATCCAATTACTGTCCTTTTATTGGATGGATGCATGGAGCTCAGATGGTTGCATTTAATATGCAGGTGAGATTCCAATTCCGTTTCTGGAATATGAATTAATGCTTGAGGTCTATGAAACTCCATGTTTCAACCATTTTTCACCTAACAGGGACATGGGAAGCATCTCTGGGCAATGCAAGGAATGTTTAAAGCCAATGGTGGATGTGGATACGTTAAGAAGCCTGATTTTCTATTAGACAGAGGTCCAAGTAATGAGGTTTTTAATCCTAGCGAGGCATTACCAGTGAAAACAGTCTTGAGGGTGAGTCCATTAAAGCAGTACTTGTAAATTGTAATGTTCCCTCAGATTTTTTGTCCTTTAAGGGTTGAAAAAGTATAGATACCTTTTGTGTTTACAGGTGAAAATCTACCTGGGAGAAGGGTGGCATGTAGATTTCCATCATGCAGACTTTGATCGTTACTCCCCACCAGACTTCTTTGCAAGAGTAAGATGATGATCTTTCAAGCCCTAACCAATATTTCTCAAAATGAAGTTTTGACATTCTCAGTGAAGTAAACTGGCTTCCAGGAAAATGAATATGGTAGAAAATGATGAATCTGTCTGCAGGTTGGGATTTCCGGGGCTCCAGCAGATCAAAGAATGGAGAGAACACTAGCGATTGAAGATGAGTGGCTGCCGGTATGGAACCAGGATTTTGGGTTCCCCCTCACAGTTCCAGAACTAGCTGTGCTCAGGATTGAAGTCCTGGAGTATGACACTACTAAGAGACCTGATTTTGCAGGCCAAACATGCTTGCCTGTGTCAGAATTAAAAACTGGGATCCGAGCAGTTCCATTGCATGACAGGAAAGGAGACAAATACAAGCATGCAAGGCTTCTTATGCGTTTTGGATTCGAGACTCCTTTTTGCTACTGAAAGGAGAAATCGACAACATGTGATTATGAATTTCACCATCACATTACTCTTCATTGAATAATTGAGTACAATATTTACACAAACCAAAAGGGAGCCATATCTATGATCTACAGTATTTCTGATTTTCTATATTATAATGTACAAAGTGCTAGAATGGACACTTTAACCATAGATATTTTAGGGTTTAGGGGGCTTCATGTTCAATTTGATCATAAACAATCCTTCCTAAGTTGACAAAACAATATTCAATGTCTCATGCTCTCTTCAGTCATCACATGTCTTGTATTTGGTCTGACAAGGTATCAGACAGGCTGGAGCTGATCACAGGTCCCTTTGAATTTTAACAAATCCTTTTGAAAGCTTAAAGCCTTTGGTAGGTCCCAAGATTAAAGAAACATAAAGCATGGTAGATCCTTGGTAATAAAATATATACTTCTAAAATTTTGCAGGAACCTATGTTAGATCTCTGATCCTACTGGCTACTGGTGTAATAAAACAGAACACAACAGCTGTTTGATTGGAAATCTGGTTGATTTAGATCCCCACCACGCCACATTGCCCTCATGATTAGGACACTGCAGGCTTTTGTTATTAATTAATCAGAATTAAGACTAATCAGGTCAACACATCCTGATTGATAACAAAAGAAAGGGGCATGCTACAACCAATGAGAAAACCAGAAGTCTTTTTCCATATTTGGGCAATTTTTCAATTAGAAAAAAATTAAGAAGATCGAGTAATTAAAAACATGAGAAGAAATTAGGTGAAATTCAATTATGTGGGGGAAAAAAATGGAGGAAACTACTTGTTTGAATGAAAATGTTAATCTGAAGAAATAGATATGGCTCTATTAGAGAAGCTGGAAGGACTATCCTCAACAAAAGCCAGTGCTCTCTCCAAATTAGCAACAATATCAGTCATGCTAGGCCTTTCGTTTCCCTCTAAATTCACACAATGCGCAGCAACATAAGCCATTAGCTCCACTGCCTCTGCCTCATGGATCTCCGGCTGCCCTACTCTTCTGTCCAAAATTGACCAGAGATCCCCTGCTTGTATCCGGGAGCTTGCATATTCTACCACCCCCATTGGACATGTTTCATCCTCTTCATTTTTGAATACAGCCTTTTTTCCTGTTAGGAGCTCCAACAACACCACCCCTAATCCATAAACATCACTTTTAGCTGTTAGTACATTCAACACATAGTACTCTGGATCAATATATCCAACTGTTCCAGCTGCCTTTGTGGACATAAATTCCTGATCAGATTCAGGCCCCATCAGCGATAATCCGAAATCTGAAACTTTAGCCATCCAATTTGCATCCAACAGTATATTTGCAGACTTTATGTCTCTATGAATTATTGGTGGCACTGCATAATTGTGGAGGTACTCAATCCCTCTAGCTGCATCCAATGCGATTTTGATCCTCATTTTCCAGGAATTCAGAATGCTGCTATTCTTTTCAACGTTGTTCTTGCTATGCAAATGATCACGGAGTGACCCATTGCTCATGTACTCATAAACCAGAAGTCTCTCATCATTTTCTTGGCAGAATCCAGCTAATCCCACTAAATGCTTGTGGTGGAGCCGTGATAACAATGCTAGTTCTGATTCAAATGCACTTTCTTTCTCTTTGAATTTCCTCATCCTTGTTGAAGTTTCGCCCCTCTTAATGGCCACTTCACGGCCATCAGGAAGCTTACCTTTGTAAACAGTCCCGAAGCTACCGGAGCCAATCTTGTTTTCCAATGAGAAATTGTTTGTGGCAGCAGCAAGCTGTGATAGTGAAAAGTGTTGCGTTTTCTCTGCATACTTTGATGATGTTGATTCAGTTCTGTGGTAGCGTAGTCCTCCAAAGCTTGTATACCTGGTTGAACACGATCTTAGTCCTGTAGGTAAAGAAACATTGTTATCAGCAGCGGCAGCGACTCCCTCAGCATCTGCAGCGACTCTCTCAGCATCTGCAGCCGTAGATGGCTGCACAGAATTAGCCATTTTGTTGTGCAAGCACCCACATGGTGCTGCCCACAAGCAATAGGCAACGGCACAGATGCCTGCAAAACCCCCAAATGATCCAACCACCATAAGACCCAAAGAAAGCTTGTTGCTGGACTTTGTTGGTGCAGGTATCACAGGAAGTGGCTTTACCGCTGGTGGTGGTGGTGGCGGCGGTGGCTTTGATGGGAGGTCCGGTGGTTGTAGTGGTGGTGAATCTGGTGATGGCGATGCAATTGGCAATTGCAGCTGGCATGATCTGCAAATGCTCCCTGATCCACCGCAGAGAGTCTCAGAATCCGGATATAAATCACAAGCACATGGAGACTGAACACAAGGACCTGGAATTATAGTTCCCAAAGGGAGATAGCTCGCTGAACTATTCCCATCAGACCACCCTGGACCCCAACAAAGCACAGACAAATTCCCAGTGGTTAGGCCACAAACGAAATCTAAACCGGCAACTATGGACTCAAACTGAACCTGTTGTACTTCTTCAAATCTGTTTGATCCTCCTCCCCAACATACTGCATATCCATTTCTTCGCCGGAGAGCACAAGTGAAGTTTGCTCCCAATGCAAGACCGGAGAACTCCAAAGCTGAGCTCGGAGAAGGAACATCAAGTTGTCCGGTCTCATTGTTGCCTTTACAGACCAAAGATCCTGTCCTGGTCAGACCACAAACATGAGACTCTCCGGCAACCAAGCTCAACATTGACAAGTTCCCAAATTGTGTCTGAATTTCTGATGCAATCCCATTCCCACCCCAACACAAAACCCCACTGCTGTTCTTCAAAATCCCACAGCTAAAACCCTTTCCAGACGTGATTGTACTAAATTTAAAACCTTCCCCCGGTGGTGAAAATGGTAAACCGCCGTTCCCATTGCCACCGCCTCTCCAGCATCGAGCTAGTCCGGAGTCCACCTCTCTGGCACAAACCTGATCATCACCGACAGCTAGGTCCGTCAGCGAAACGTTTTGGCTGAAATATATTCGTCTGAGCATGAACGTTGAATACACCGGATTGGTAGTATTCCAACAGAGAAGAGTAAGTCCACCTGACCTGAGACCGCAGAAGAAGCTCTCCCCACCTGAGATTTGCGCAAACGAGATATCGGGAAAAACCCAAATGCTCTGTCCATTTTGATAACACTGGATTCTCTGGGTCGTCTCCCCTGCAATGATGCCACACACGGTGGAAGTTCCAAATGTGATCGCGACGGTGGAGGCCGACCCAAGCGCCGTAACAACATCAAACCACAGTATGAGCGAAACTAAAACAAGGACAACAATCACAATGGTGGGGGAACAGGGTGTTACTGACATTTCAGAGACTCTGTTTTGTTAGTTTTCTTCATTGAAGAAGAGGAAATGAGGAAGAAGAATATCAAGCAGGGGATGGATGATAAAGAGAGTTGGCCAAACTTAACTAAACAACACAATTCAATTGGATATGAATAGTATGTGGTCCCGTGGAATCAGAGATGTTGTTGGGAGGTTTACTTCAGCTTCTTCCATGTTGATTCAGAGCTCTGCAATTTATTTTTTTCTCCACACAACACGACAGATCTTAATTTTGTTTTACAATTTTTTTTTTTTTGGTAATTTTAAGGAAAACTTTCCCCTAGGCCCAAGCAATTAATCATCACATGAGATTTTTAGTATGAATTTTCAAATTCTCCCATTGCCTATTTTTCAAACAAAAAAAAAATTCAAATTCTCTCTTAATCTGGTGCAAGATTTTATAATTAATTTCGGTGAATTTTTAATTTGTATTTGAAAGATATAGATTAAAAGATGAAATTAGTTTATGTTTTTATAATTAATTTGCATACAAAATATAAGTATCAATTTTGAATTAATTAATTAATTGAAATTATTTACCTATTAATAATATTAAAATAAATATTAATTTTTATAATTTTTATATAAATTAATTATAAAATATATATGTTTATTATATTTTTAACCTATAATATAAGTTTAAAAAATTCTTAATTTTGTACTAACTAAGTTAGACTTTTTTCTTTTGGTTGGTGCAAACAATAAAGTGTTCCATAATCGAAAACAAGAATATTGTGACTTCTTAGAGCAGTGAAATTTGTAAAAGTTTTTATTTTTTTATATTGTTTAGAAGTTGTAAATTTAAATTTTTATTAGAAAAAAAATTTAAAAGTTACTTTTAAAAATAAAAAAAAATGATAAAAAGTGAGTAAAAAAAAATTTTTAAAAAACATAAATTTAAAGTTTTTTAAAATTTACTGTTTAAAATCTTTTTAAAATTAAAAAGAAGTTAAAACCTGAAATATAAATTTATGAAATATAAATAATATCAAAAAACTGAAATTTTTACAAATTTCATCAAATATGTTCTTAGTTGGGAAACACTCTTACTGTTAAAAGAAAAAAATTATGAGTTTTGTTCATAAGAAAAATTAAATGGAAGAGGCGGCCATATTGATAGGTTAGGTTTGGTTCATGGGGTGTTTGGTTAGCATTTCATTTTCAGAGAAACATGACCAATGACATTTAGGGATTTGTTAGTAAGGTTAGGTATTCTCCACTTAATCATATATAGATAAAATAATCGTTGATTAATATTAGTAATAAGGAGATGTCAAATCCATATGAGATATGACCATGCCCAACATGTTAGAAAGACCAAATTTTGTCATTTAATGAAATCCCATCTAATTTTTCTTGCCTTCCATGGAACATCAAAACAAAATAGCTCCCACTTGTCTATTCTAAGATGAAATAGCTTTTCTTTAGGGATTTGTTTGGCATGTGAAGGAAGACATAAAGTTTTTGTCTTGAATTTTGTTGCTCAATTACCTTTTAATTCTTTTATTGGGTGTTTAGTATACTAAAATATTTTATTATTTTTTAAGAAATTTATCTTTAGAAAATTTTAAACTCAATAGAAAAGTGCAAGTTATAATAAAAAATAGTTTTTATAATAGACTTTATATTAAAAATACTTTAAAAAATCATAAATTAAATTATATTTTTAATATACAATTTGCCCTAAAAAACTTAAATATCAAGTTATAAATTCTGTGGTAGCATTTTCTTTAACTCTTTTTTTTTTTTTTTCTCTCTAGAAACTAAACAAAAATAAAGAATTTATTAAAGACAAGACATATGGGAAGGGTGTTTGGGTTGGGTCATTAGACATTACAATTGGGCTTATGCAAATGCAATAGAGTCTCTTTTTTTTTCTTTTTTAAGGGTACTGAGTATCATGAGCTTTATTACATAATCAGGCTGGATCTAGGATCCAGCTGATTGGTAGTTTTGTACACAAGTCAAACCCAGATCCAACATATTTAAAAACAAATCCAGCCCAACCCAATACAGATTGGACCAAGATGTTTCAAAAGAGGAAACAAGACTCCCTCTCTTTTTTTCTTTTCTTTTTTTTGGGTTTTTAAACCCAAAGAAAAACAGGGAAAAAAAGGAGGAGGAGAAATTAGTATTTTAATTAAGGAAAAGTCCTTTCTTACTTTATGATTTGAAGGAATATGAGCTAAATATATCGTTTCATGTTTGGCAATTAAAATCCATCAAACAGTGATAGCTGCCCCATTATTGATTGATTCCTCCACAAACCGACCCATTTTCTCCTCCATCATAATGTCACATCAATTCCCCCAAGTGCCCCTATATCTTATCAGTTATCATCATAATTAGACTTAGAAACAATATCTCTTTTATGTAAAATGAACTAATTAACTACCTGAGAAAGTATTGGTCATGTAGTGTCTTAAGTTAACATCAACCCCAAAATAATTACCCATGATACTCGCAGAAAATTTCTAAATCCCCATTTTAGTACTTACAATGACTAAGATAAAAAAATTCAACTGAAAATGAATGTTGCTCCCCATCCAACCTTAACTAAACTTATAGCGTGTTGTCGTTTAATATATGTTTTACTTATTTCTTGTTCCCTTTTTGTCTCTTCTTCCTATATTTGTTATTTAAAGTTTCATTTGTTCATCTAATGTTTTAGGTGTCAAAAACTAACCACTAAATTTAGTCTCCGTTTGGTGGGACTAGAACTTTTAATAAAAATTTAGTTGAAAAGAAATCATTATAAAAGTGTTATTTTTATAAATAAAAAAAATAAAGATAAAATAAAAATAATGTATTAATTTTATTAAAATTCAAATGAAGAGCTACTGTAGAAGTATCAATTCAGTGCTTCTAAGATTTGCAATGAAATGGACATGATACTAACTTAGGAAAAATTGTAACATTTTTTATAAATTAGAGTATTCGATGCAGTTAGAGCTTTTAAAGTTAAAAAAAACTTCCTATCAGCTGTACTAAACATAACTTTAACTAAAATCCCATTTAATAAAAAGTGGGGAATGGAGTTAATATCTTGTGTTTAAGGGTTGGGGTAGATGGAATTGAGATCAAAAAAGGATAATAATTAGTGTATTTTTAATTTAATATATTTTATAATATATTTATTAAAAAATTATTATTTTTAAATTTAAATGTAAGACAAGAAAATTTTCATTTATAAAATTTAATGAGTAAATTGATAAGTGTTTGGCATGTTTGATTCAGTTTTTAAGTGCTTTAACTTTTTTGATATTATTCATGTTTCATAAGTTTAAATTTTTTTTAAAAACTTACATTTTTTAATTTTTCTTAATTTTAAAAAGATCTTAAACAATAAATTTTAAAAAATTTCAAACCTTTACTTTTCAAAAACTTATTTTTTACTTATTTTTTATTATTTTTAAAAATAACTTTAAAATTTTTCATATAATAAAAATTTAAACTTATAAAACATAAATAATATTAAAAAATTAAAATTCTTATAAGTTTCATCAAATATATTCTAAATCAGATAGTATATCAATTATTATAAAAAAAAATTGTAATACAAAGGACCGATAGGGATTAGCAGAAACAACACATTAGATGAGTCATACATACTGGATAGGCTGTCGTTTGGTCTGTGCTTAAAAAAGGGAGAAATTCCCATTACTTGCCACCCAATCCCTATCTACTCCCATTCCAATTCAAGCAAAACCCCCTTTCCCTTTTGCGAATTTCATTCTCATTCCATTTCGTCCAAAAGAAGAAATACTGGTTCCATCACTTAGATATACCCATTATTTCCTCCCCCACATCCCCTATTGGCCCGTGCGCCTCACCCTCTCAGGTAGGGCCTGAGGCCTCCCAATACGAATCCAACAAAGGTCCAAAGGAGGTGTCACGAGCAGGGTGCTTTTGGAGGGGGCAGTGGCATGGCCCTTGGGCGATGGAGGGGGCGGAAAAAATTGAAAGGCATGATGCTGATGTGCTGAGGGGATCCATAGCTATCAAAAATGTGTATAATGGAAGAGAGAGAGAGAAATTGGCAATTAAGAGATTTTGAATTTTGGGAGACTACATATATAAATATGATAATGTGTGTGCCTCTTCTGTTTGGCACAAGTTTTATTGAAAATAACTCGGACATAAAGTGTTGGAAGGAGTAGGACCACATGGGCATCTTCATTGCATTTTATTTTAGGCTTAATTAAAATGGTTGTTGATATTCAACCCACAAAATTAAAATGAGCTTAGTAAATTAGGATATGTAGATAATTTAAATGTCAAAAATGGTAATAAAAAAAAAATTAAACATCTTTAAGAAATTGACATATAAATAAAATTTATTATTAAAAATATTTAGATAATTTTACTAATAATTTTAATTTTTAAAATATTATAATATTTTAAATTTCGATCCTTCATTCATGGTGACAACTTGATATTTATCATCTTTAATGAACTGCAAATGCATTCAACAAATCAATCCTTCATTCGTGGTGACAACTAGATATTTTTAGTTTCTTAGAGTTTCAGTTTTTTTTTTTTAATATTATCTTAGTTGTCTAATAAGACAATATTTTTTTATTTCTTATTTCACTTCACTTATATATTATCTAATTTAAATTTAAAATTTTTTATTTTTAACGAAAGAATTTCACCATTTAACTATTTAAGTCATTAATAAAAATTTCAGTTTTAGTCTTATTAAAGTACAATTTTCTCTCGTTTATTGTCATATTTTGTTAAGAGTGGAGTTGCACTCGACGCTTACAAGGAATTTATTGGTTCCCACTCTTTAAAAAAAAATTAATTTAAAAGCTTTTTAAAGGAAAAGTTCACTCATGCAATTTATCATTTTCCTTTAGAATATGTATGTTCTAAGAAAAAGAAAGTAGAAAAGGAGAGGGGAGAATTTCTTTTATTAATTAAATTCTATTATTGGTTAATGTTAATTACAATTTAATTAATTA